GCATGTATAGGGAACAAATCACAACAAATTTCTGTCAAGCACCAGTTGCAATAATGTGTGTGTAACAGAAAGGACCTGTGTGCCTTTTGGAGCAGCAGCTTGCCATGCCCTCCCTGCTCTGGCACCATTACCTGGGGGCACAGGCTACCAGAGTACTTGCCATCAAAACATAACATTTTTTGAACTGATGCAGATTTAATGAGAAGTTATCCACGAAAATATAATAACTGGACAGCGTTTTACATTGAAATGCCACGAAAATCAGTGATGTATCCAACTATGCGCTTAAATAGTTAAAGTTCATCTACTGATTACACAAATATTGTGCCTTTGAGAGACATAATTACAGTCCCTCTACATGTGTGATGGCTTAAATTTACTTCCACTTCATCCTGTGTCATTAGTCCACCCACTTGTCATAGAGACATCTAAAAATAATAAGAATCTAAAAGATCAAATTAACAATGACAATTTTAATACCATCTTGGCCTTTCAATTAAAAGGGAATAGGTACAGAGAATATAGATAATTACAGTACGTCCCCTCCGGCACAAAGGCTCAGTAAAAAAAAAATCCAAACAGTCACTCAGCCTGATTCACATGCTGGCTTCTGCTTCTGTAAGCAGGCAGACCACAGGCTGCCGAGGGCCTTTTGTGGTATCGAGTCAGTAACAATAATTCAGGAGGTAAAAAAAAAATGACCCTGTCAGGTAGCAAAGTTTTCTTACAGCTCCTGATTCTCTGTATTTCACATATGCACCTGTGATCTTTGCATTGTCCTTCAGAGCTCTTGTACAATAGCATGAATATCATAGATTATGTGTTGATATATAAAGGGATACATACATTATTGATATATAAAAGGACACATGTTCATATCCTTTATGCAATGCTTCAGATACAGCTTTTGAAAGCAGAACAACATAAAATTTCACCCAGTCAGTGGTGTGTATTGAAAGCTTGAAGGGCTGACTGGGCTTCTTAGGGGTAGAGCAATCCTGAATTGCAGTTATGAATTAAAGCAATGGAATAGTTCTCAGGCTTTGACATTTACAGGTGGAAAATAAGGGTAGAAGAGAAGGCTGAATAGATAAAACATATCTTTGCAGTTAACTCTATAAATTTCCACTAACATGCCGTTGATACTAAACGGAAGCGGGAAGAGGTGGAGGGAAGGCAGGAGTCTCTACCCATTAATATAACAGGCAATCTTTACTGTTTGAATGTTTGGATTTTTAATTATTTTTTTTTTTTAATCTTTTCAATGATCTTCCTAAGTAGTTGTCATCCTTTAGTTGTAAAGGTATGAAACCGTTTAGGATGATGCCGTTATTTTAAAAAGCGTCACTGTCTTTTGTCTCCAAAATGCCCTAGGAACAGCCTAGGAAATGGCCCTGTGCTTTGTGACGTGACTAAGCAGCAGGGAGATAAATCTGCCCAGCTTTCTGCCAGTGGAGTGGACCTTAGTTTCACACTCATGGTCCCCATTTTTTAAATTGGGGATTAAATATACCCCAGGGACACGATACCTGGATAAGTATACAAGATTCACTTCACATCAAAAGAAATTTGAGCAAAAAGATGAACACCAAATAGCCTTTGCTCAGAGTCAAAACATGGCAGAGATACATTCAGCAACAACTTTTGAAGAAAATTAGATTTGTCCTAGTTTGTATTTGAAGGTTTTAATTATCTGAGCATCTTCCTGCCACAGTTTGCATCTACACCATAAATTCCAGATGGATGTTACTGAACACAGATGACTACTCTTGACAAAATAGTTTCTTTCCATCTGGTTTCACTATCTAAACGTAAATAGGCAGGTAGGCTTAGAAAATAGGTGTCAGAAGAAGAAGAAAAAAAATCAACGCTGCTCTTGGCCATAGGAAATTCACGTGTAACACTGGCTGGAAACTCTGTGCACTCTGGTTTGTCCCAGTTCACCTATGGATATAAGTCACTGATGTTCACTTCATTTCCAGGGCAGTGTGCTTCCCTTATGAAGTTGTATACTATGCAGTTTGATGGGGAGCTACTTTTTCCTCCCTATACAACTTTTTCATTTAAGTTAACTAGGACTCAAAGGTTTCTTCAGCTCTCTACGTGAGTACACAAAATGCCATAACTAAATTATAGATTAGTCTGCATGCCTAGATGAATTTTGGAATAAGAGAATTGAATTTCAAAGCCTGGCAAAGGTATGTGTCTGAGCAGAAGAACATGAGCCAACCATTTGGCAAAGATGTGTTGGGGGTGGAAAGAGACACAGAGACCTCTCATCCCTGGAGATATTAACAGAAAAGGCATGTGTAAGAAACACGAGATAAACATGCTATGCTTGGTGTTGGGGATTAGTATTCGGTTTTGGGCATCACATTTAAGGAAAATGTAGTTAAGTTGAAAAGAATTTGAAGGAGACCAGTAAGAAGAGTAAGTTTGGAAAAACTGCTTAGAAAATAAAAGACTGGAGGGATGCAAGTGAGCAGGACAGCGATCTCCATGCCTGTAAGCAGCTGCTTCAAAGGGGAGATCGATCACCTGCCTATGGGTTGGGTGGATTCATCCTTTTTGCTTGCAGCCAAACACAGCCTGCTCTCTCACCGTCCTCCCACTCCAGGGAGTAGGGGACAGAATTAGAAAGAAAAGGGCAAGGAGACTCACCCACTTCAGGGAGTAGGGGCGAGAATTGGAAAAAAAGGGCAAAGAGACTCAGAGGTTAAGATAAAAACTATTTACTAATTAAAATAAAATGATAAAGATAACAACAGTAATAACAGAATATACCACTGAGTGATGCACAGTGCAATTACTCACCACCTGCTGACCAATGCCCAGCCTGTCCCAGCCAGTGATCCTGGAGCACAGACAGTCCCCAAACCCAAACCCTGGAAAAGTGAGAGCCTGAGCGACCCCCAAACAAATTCCCCCGTCTGCTGGTCAGCCGTAGTTAATATACTGAATGTGATATGATATGGAATATTTCATTGGCACATCCAAATGCCAGTTTGGGTTTTGCTATTCACTGCACTTCTCCCTCCCAGTCCTAATGCAGCTGTGAACCAGCCAAACATCATGGTCTTGAGCTCCAGCAGCAACTAAAACATTAGTACCTTATCAACATTCTTCTCATAACAAATCCTACACTGAACCTAAAACACAGCTATTCTAGCAACTAAGAAGAAAATTAACTCTATCTGAGCAAAACCAGGACAGCAGTAGTGGTAGGACACACAGTAACGGCCTTAGCTTGCAAGCATACATCCTGGGGGAGGGAGGTTAAATGTGAGACTAGATAAATACCATATCTAAACCTGTTCACCTCAGAGACACTAACACCCATTACTTTCACAGGAGATTTTACAAAGAGGGCAGACAAGCATATCTGACAAGAAAATAAACCTCTGGCTGAACTACAGACCATCTTCTCTTAAGGAATTCTTGCAGTATATTAATATATACTTTTGCATGCTGCACCTATATTGAGCACAAAAAACTGCTTTCTCCTACTAATGTCTCTTTGGATTCACCGTGAGAGATCTCTGCAGACAGTTTCCTAAAGTGGTATATATTGCATATTTCTAACAACATGCTAAAGCTTATCAGAGGTCAAAGAAAGCACTGAAAGGTCAAGTACAGAATAGTGTCTTTATGCCTGCTAAGTTATGAAGGTATGATTGATAAATATGTATCTATAAATGTATGTGTATATAACGTATCTATAACGTGTAAGAAAGCAGCTAGGATTTCTTTACTCATTTGTCACGTTACTTTATTTCAAGCATGAAGGAAGTTGCATGCAAACTACCACTATAATTGATTACTCCTGTCAGTGATCAGGAATGAAGGAAGCCCTAGAAAACTCACATTAAGATTTTGCTGATACATTCTACTCTAATCTGGTTTGTACAGCGAAGAGGAGATGATTATAGGCATCACTGCAAGTTACACTCGACTAAGATAGGAGAGATTAATGCCACTTTTTCTAAAGTTAATAAAATCCACTTGCAATAAGATTAAAGCGAACAACCAGACATTCTCGTGTAATATCTACATACACAAAGCTAAATGTGTGCCTTCAAGGTTTCCACAATAAAACAGAAGTGTTATTCAAGTGAGAACAAGAGGTGCAGCAAAGCTGTATTTAGAAGACACTGTGGCTTTTCTAAGGCTCGAAGCCAACAGCATAGCTTCCAGGTAGCTTTTCAAGCAGGATGAAATCCAGAAAAGAAACAAGCAGCAGCCTACACTATGGGCAGTCCCCTGTCTGATAAAAGCTTCTCTATCTCAGGACAGAACAGTCAGAGCTAAGCTGCCTCCTCCTTGATATCACTGCATCTCTAAAAGACAAGCATCGCTTTGTGTATGTGATATAATAAGGAGAAAGCCCTGAAGGTTTATTACATCGTTAAGCAAGATTTCTTGTTTTGTTTTACTGAAATTTTTACTCAGTTAGGGGAACAACAGCAGGTGTAACTGATACACCTCTGCAGAACAGTGATTTCAGTAGGATCCAATCAGATATATAACCCATCATATTAGAAAACACAAAAAGGTAAAGAAAAAATAAATGTTATTGCTAGGTAGGATTTTTTTTTTTTTACTGATTGGGAGCTAAATGAGCAGTGTAACAAAACCCACCCAAAGCACACATGAAGTCTTACACTACTGTGTGCCAAACCATCTCAGGCCTTAATTGTGGTATCCACTCCTTTACACACCCAGTAGAAAGAAACCAAGCCATGAATTTTACATACATTAAGAAAAAAACAAACTACCAGCAGAAAGCATATTTTTTGCCTTCCATCTTCTCTAAGACATGAATTAAAAAATAGCTGTGATGAGTTTTGTGATGAGTTTATGGTTTATTGAACATTTCTGGGCATGCAAGACTGGATGGCATCTGCAACACAGTATAAGCCTCAGCGACTCACTCAGATTTCAGTCTAACTTTGTCACAACCAACAAGAATTTTAAAAGGATAAACAAACACTGAAACTCACCCTTGTGGTGTAAGCAGCTTCTGGGTCATCTTCCAGTACACGAGAGAGACCAAAATCTGAGACTTTGCATACCAGGTTACTATTGATGAGGATATTACGAGCAGCTAGATCTCGATGGACATAACCCATATCTGACAAATATTTCATGCCCGATGCGATCCCTCGAAGCATGCCTACTAGCTGGATGACTGTGAACTGGGCATCATGTTTCTGGAAAACATTTGAAATGTCATTTCAGAGATTGTTCATGTTCCTCCTTGCACAGAATTTTTGATAAAGACCATAGAAGCTCCTCAAGTGAAGAGCTTGTGAGTCAGGGGTCATGATTTGCCACATGTGGAACTACTTTGATCTGTGGATGATAATCTACCAATCAGCTGAGGGAAGGGGATAGATTTTCAATTCAGACAAAAATTAAATTTTCCCATTCTTGCTGTCATTAGAATTTCAATTTCCCAGATGGGACCTGTGTACAAGTGGCACATAAATCTAAGTTGTGTGTGCTCCGGAGACTGGAGTGTCAGGACATTAGGGAAACAGACATCCAACTTCTCTGAAAGGCCATAGGAATTGTTAGTGAAAATCCTAGCCTTATCCAATGGACTAATGAACATTTTCTATTACACAAGCATTTTTTTCTAACAAAAGCAAACACTGATCTGATTCAATGGTTTTCAAATTCCATTAAATTTAAACTCACTCCTCAAAACTTTCCTCAACCTCAGGAACAGAAAAAAACACTTAAACACACTGTGACTTAACCTAGAAACCAATAGTTGCATAGATTTCTAACTGTCTACTTCTAGACACGTGTTTTAAATCTCCCAGCTCTTACTAATGCTGTTCATTAACATCTAGCTTTGATATTGAGATATAGATACACAGACCAAAGGACAACTGGATGTCCTAGTGCAGTTCTCAAATACCCCAGTGCTGTAAATGTATCATGGGCAGCTCTCCAGCTCTTCCTGCTGCTTCTTCCAGAATTGTGTTAAATACATGGGAGTTGGCTCTGCCATGTGGAGTGAGCTCACACAAACCAGTCTGCAAGACTGATTGCATTCATTTTATTTTTGATTAATATACTTAGGGGTGATATTAGCACTGTACACATTAGACAAATATATGGCACAACAGATGCTTAAAGAGCCTCTCAGAACACCCTTTCATGAAGAAATTCATTATTATAAAAGACTCTTAGAAGTTTCCTGTTATAAAATCTTCTTTAACTTGAGCCAACACAAGTATCTATATAGACCCTGGAAAAGAATTAGCTAGAAATCAGAAGGTTTCTAACCATGAAAGTAACGAGATGCTGAGATAGCCTTTCAATGGCAGCGGGGAAAGCAAAGAAAACAGTTTTAAAAAGCATTTATAAGAAGGGTTATAGGGCCTGGGTTGCCTATGATATTACTGAGTCACAAGGTTCTTATCTGTGATTCCATACAACAGTAATAATAAAAAATAAACACCAAAAAACCACACTTAAATGAACGAACAAGCTGAACAACTGTTTTGTGCAGTCAGAAATTATTCTCCTTTCCTCAGAGCTCTCTTCAAGGATTTTTAGCCTAAACAAAATATATACAGTTCAGTACAAATATATTTCATTCAGATATACTGACACGTTATTTATATGTATTTTACATGCTCCAGTGGACATCATAACATATATAGTACATACTGAAACTAAGGTTGACAATATATCCCCTTTTGGGGTTAAACGTCTAGTTCAGTGTTATGAATTTGGGGGATAATGTCATTCAACCATGGCAGAACCAAAGCAGTCTCCCAGCCACAGCTGAGTTTGCCCTAACAAATTAAAATTAAACTAGTGTTTCCCCTCAGATGGGATTTCATTTCTGCTACACTTCTTGTTTTGCCACAAGTAAATCTTGGTGACACAGAGAGCATTTGAATTTGTTTAGGCTCGTTACCAACTTTGTCAGAAAACAACGATAAATCAACAACAGCATTAGTGTGTCTAAGGTTGGGGAAAGAAAACAGGCCAATAAAGTTGTCTAACAAAACATTTCAAACATCCCCAGATATGGGGTTATTCCCTAAACTTTTCACATTTAGGGAAACGTCTCTTGGCTCAGTATTATTGGTTCACTGATAAAATTTTGACAAATCCGTTCGCTTTGGAAATGACTTAGTAAGACATAGAGGCTGCCAATCAATAAGCATAACTGCATTACAGTAGTAATTCAGCCCTCAGAGAAACAATTTCCATTTTTGTGTGCTAGAATGTTGTTTTGTTCTGTTTGTTTTTTTATTGATATGACATACTAATAAAACAAGCGTTCTTCATTTTGGAGTAACACTGCAAGCAGTCAACATGGACTAGCAGATCTCTACCTAGCTTTCTGAGCACATCACAATGCACACAAAACCAGATGGAAATAATGAAATATTAATGAAATATTAAGCAACAAGAGCTGATGATGAATCAGAGTACAGTAGCAGCAAATTCGTAACAAATTCAGAGCAAGAGCCAATCCTGTACCATGTAGTTCTCTATTGCACTTACCCGTAGGAAGCTGTCCAAGGAACCATTTTCCATATATTCAGTAACAATCATAACTGGTTTACCTGCAAATATATCACAGGGGTCAGGCATTTAAAATGAATACATAATGATCAGTAAAGACAGGCATTTCAGAAACGTGCCCAAATCTTCCAAATCCCAAGGACAGTTTTACATGTAGAAAGAAAGCAAAAGATGCAAGGGCAAAACCAGCTCTGTCTACAACATAATTGTGATTTCACCGACATCAACAGAAATACAGCCATTTCAGCATAAACTGATACAACTTTTAGCATCGCAAGTGCCAAGTCTCAAGAAAACAAAGTGAAGCATCCTGCATCTTCAGTATACAGTGTCTTATCCATCACCACCGAATATAATCCTTCATATAACTGTTGAATTTACACAATAAAGTAGATTCATGGAATGGTTTGCGTGGGAAGGGACCTTAAAGATCATTTAGATCCAACCTCCCTGCCATGAGCAGGGACACCTTCCACTAGACCAGGTTGCTCAAAGCCTCATCCAGCCTGGTCTTCAACACTTCCAGGGAGGAGCAGCCACAGCTTCTCTGGCCAACCTGGGCCAGTGTCTCACCACCCTCACAGAAAGAGGGGAGAGAATAAATAGCATACATGGAGTCAATAGCAAAAATCCTCTCCCTTGGGAGGGTATTTACAACAGAGCTTCGGTATTTTCCTAGCATAAGCCAAGGAAAACGTTGGAGTGGGAATAGAGATGGAATGGAAAGTACAGAATAAAAGAAATACAGGGTATTGGAAAGTAAAGCAGAGCTGTAACACGGCCACCTTCCACTGTTGGGGGTTAGCCCTCTTTCCAAGCAGTCCTGCCTCCCTCTGTGGTGGGACCACTGACAACAGGATGGAATTCTCCTGCCAAGCACAGCATGGCTGGGGACTGAACATGCTGCGTCCACAGGACAGCGGCGTGCTCTAAAGAAACAGCCCTGCATCCTTGAAAAGCCTCTAACGTCTTTCAAAACTTGTCCATGCCGATCCAGATCACTTTTTGAAACCATTCTTTCTACCCTCGTACTTTGTAACATAACCAAGATTTTATACGCAACTCTGACATGTTGGAGAGAAATGAATGCAAAAATTAATGTGATTACGGTGAAGTTTCCAGACAAAGGTCATCGCCTTGCTAATATTTTACCATCATATGGATTTTATTATTTCATAATATTTTCTAAAGCTTTGTTTATTTTCTCTTTGTGGCAGAGAGAAAGGTGGGTAAGAGCATGAAGTTATTTAAGGAGATGAATTATTATTTCACATATAATATAGGAAGGCATCTGACCATGAAAGCATGACAAAGGCCTGCATATTGTATAGCAGGCATGGTCATATTTTAGCTTTTAAAACTGAACAAGACGAAGCTTGAAAGAGGTACCCAGTATAATCAAAACCAAGAAAGCCTTTAAAAAAGTGAAGTAAATGATTTTTTGTGTGTTTTTCAGAAAATATAACTTTTACCAAATAGAAATTCTTAGAAGAGGAATATTAATTTTAAATAATGAGTTTAATATAATAAGAAAATAATTTGTCCTCTTTGCATGGATTAATGGGTTAAAATCTCTGCTGCTGTGCAAATGATGTGTTATACTGTGGGAGTCACACTAACGGGTAATGGACTCTGTCATTCATTAACTAGTAGGAACAAACTCTTTATCCAAAACGTTAATCTTGAATTATATAGAACGTGGTACAGATAAAAGACCTCACAATCTAGAATATATATATATATATAAAATAATCTGTTGCTTGCTTAGTCTTGTTAGCAAGAAACTGTGCAGTGCAAGGAAAAGTACCTAACATAGACCATGTGTGTAACACTAACCCAAAGGCATTTCTCGTAACACACAGAAAATGCTGCTGGGTCTTTCAAGGAAAGGGCAGCGTGCCGATGGGGCTATCCAAAACTTTCTAAGATAAATCCACGTCCTTTGAAACCAGGAGACAGTTGTTTGGTTTCTGTATAAACTCAGTCAATTTTATGACACATCAGAAGACTGAAATTAGAGTAAGAAGCTACATATTTCAAATTATTAGGAGAGGATCTTCCTGCCTTGCTCACCCATACTCAGAGAGCCCCAAGAGCAGGGTTTCCCTCTCGTTCAGTTGGAAATGTGTCCGTAATAAGAAGCACATGCTCTGAAGCAACGCGGTGCGCTTTTAAAAGAACATTCTGCATTCATTTATCAAAGCGCAGCCGTTTATACATGATAACAACTTGTGTCAACAGTGTTGCTGAAATTTATTATACTAACAGGCTACAAATTGCTGTAAATTATTAGTAAACTAAGCAGAACATGTGCGCTGGTTATTAAGCCTACTGCCTACAGCACGCCCAGGAGATCGGCGTAGCAGGAAAACACTGAACAGAAATCAGGGTGAAGCAGGAGAACAGCTCTGCACTGAAGCAAAAGACTCATCTGGTGGGTACATCTCCTTCATACTGCTGGGGGGTTGTCCCACTGGCAAACCACAGCCACCCCACCTCGAGAACTTCTCATATCAAACGGTCCTGTTACAGAGATCATGACAATTGTAGGTATTAGGAGTTGCTGCAGAAGATCTGGTTAGTGTGAAAAGCTAGAGCATTTGTAAGGGCCACCTGTCAAAAATAATTCAGCTAATGAAGAAAAGGTCATATTGCCTGATCCATCATGTGTTACCTGTACTGAGAGTGTTCCAGCAAATACTCCACTGACTGTAAATAAACTAATGCTTTTGAGTGTGATTTAATAGCTATCATTAAAAAACGTGAATACTTGCTAACTTGTTATTACAGTATATTGTAATATATACATAACAACCTTCTTGTCTTTCTATCACTCTACAGAATCTTTAAGAAAATAAATTATCTTTACTTGCATTTCTCCCATATAATTTTACCCAGTAAAAGGGAAACAAATAGTTTCAGAGCAGTTTTCTCAACTCCTATATTCAAGCTATCTGGAGAGGATGTTGTACCCCTGAGGCTTTTATTGACTTCAGCTGGAAATATTCAAAGCTTGCTCTCTCATACTTAAATGTGACAGGCAGCTGGCACTCCCAGCCCTCCAAAACAGAAACCAGTCTGCTGTGAATACAGCTGAGGAGCAAACTTACTAATAGTCACTTACACTGAATACAGACAGAATTAGTAATGCACGTTGAAAAGCAATGCACAAATTCCTGCATGCACAGCAATTAAATTATTTTCTCAAGTGCCACGGAAATACAAAATGTAACAAAATAGATTTTAGCTCAGCTGTGTACAGACTGATGCTGGCATTTCAAGTAATTTTGGGACTGCAAATGTTATTCTGACTGTACAAAGTGTGTGTCATTAAAAAGCAGGAGATAACTTGGATTTATACAGGCAGATCTGGCAGTCCTTTCCTAATGGGACTTCGAGACCTAAGCTGAAGAATAACTTCTTTGTCATTTAAATCAGCAAAATAGACTTTCAGGAATCACACCTAGAGAAAGCATTATTATTGTAATCATGACTCTTCCTGGAGTACAGGGTTTTACATACCTCTCGATAGTTATTTTTAGACACATTCTTGTGGGTTTTTTATTTAATGTAATTTGTTGCAGTAAGCTACGAAATTCCTTCATGCCTGTCTGTGTTTGTGAAACCTTGAATCACATAATTTTAAAAACAAGATTCCTTAAAACCAATAAAACTGTCTACTCAACAACACAGTATCTGGTATACTTCCACCCAGTTAAACTGGAAATGTCCTCAGCACATTCCAAGCACTTCACTGAAAAGGCAAGGAGCTGCTTTGCCAGCAGAGTCCTCTAGGATGAACTAGAAAATATCCTACTGATTTTTTCTACTCCCTTGAAAAAATCTCAGAGTATTCCTGATTTTTTATTTTTTTTAAATAATAACTCATATAAAATCTTATTGATCTCCCACCTAATAACTACTGCATGACTTGGATCATTACACTTATCACCTTATGCTACCATGGAAATTTAAAAAGTCTCTGATTTTGAAACCACCACAACATCTCACAGAACAAGGCAGTTTTGGTACATTATGCAGCCTCTCCTTTCTAACTACTAACTATTTCTGTCTTTCCACCTCGAGGTAGAGGAGCACAAGCAACGAGAGCCAGAACTTGCCTATACGAGGCAGCATCACCAGTACCAAATCCCACCAGCTGCTCATCAGGAGAAGAGCAGGCAGGATCCGAGTGGTTTTGAGGAAGTGACCATGTCTGCCATGGGAAAGCTGGGTAGGAGCTCCAAGACTAACACCACCATTCAGGAATGTCTATTACAATTTGCTGTTATCTTAACAAAAGTAGAGCTGGAGAGGGTTGTTCTTTTCCAGGAAGGTACTCAGCATGGATGGCAGACCAACACCACCATTCAGGAATGTCTATTCCAACTTGCTGTTATCTTATCAAAAGTAGAGCTGGAGAAGGTTGTCCTTCTTTTCCAGGAAGGTACTCAGCATGGATGGAGTTTTCATGTATATTTTTGTCTCAAAATGGTGATTTTTTTAATCAACACCAGACAAAAACATGCTTTAAAAAACTCAAAAAACCTCACAAAGGCAGATTTAGAAAATGTCTATAAGAAAAAAACCCAAATATTATCAAAGAAATAAAATAAATTTTACTACTGACAGCTTAAAGCCCCAAGATTTTTTTTGCGATTTTTTACTAAGAAGTATAAATTCTAGAGCATCAAGATCTTTAAAATGCCTCATACAGGTACATGCTGAATATCACACAGAGTATTTTCCCTGCATGAAAATAATGTAGTGAAAAGTTTGGACTTCTTTATTAATATACCAGTAGCAGTTGCTGTAGCTAGGTAGGCTGTTTATTAATTTGTGCTACTGATAAAATCTAATGATTTAGTTCAAAGCAAAACATATTGCTTCAGTGCAATTAGGAAACCTTAGGACATCAGACTCCATGATTCCTAACAGATTATCAGCAAGGGCCTCTTGGCCACTTTTAGCAATTTGTAGTTCTGGAGTTTATTAAACTTTCAGTTTATTACTGAGCTGCACTGTTCTTCAGAAATTCTCCTTTTTCTCCATATTTTCTGTATTTTTTTCAAGCAGATCACTTTTATTTCCCATGTTTCCCCATCTCATTAACCCAGTGTACTGTTTATAAGTTCTTGGCAGCCTGAGAGAAGCAAGAGAGTGAAGGTCTTGCCTCCAACACCATTATTAATTGGACCCACCACTGCAGGTTTAGCTCGTGCTTGCACGTGGATAATTTTTCCTGCTTTTGAGGGAATAAAATATAAATTGCAAAAGCCAATCTTTGTGTTTCCACTGTTATCTCTTTTGAAGTATATTTGGTACATACTAACAGGGTTATAACATAAACATTTCTGGAAGGGTTTGCAGAGCATAAACATGGATGATTCAGTTTTTGATTTGCTTTTGCTCCTCCTTGAAAGGTCAGAGAATTACAGAATAATTTAGGGTGGAAGGGACCTCCAGTGATACAAAAACAGATGCAAACCAGATGGAATATTGTGGAATATTGTGTCCAGTTCTGGGCCCCACAGTTCAAGAAGGACAGGGAACTCCTTGAGAGAGTCCAGCACAGAGCCACCAAGATGATTAAGGGAGTGGAGCATCTCCCTTATGAGGAAAGGCTGAGGGAGCTGGGGCTCTTTAGCCTGGAGAAAAGGAGACTGAGGGGAGACCTAATTAATGTTTACAAATATGTTAAGGGCAAATGTCATGAGGATGGAGCCAGGCTCTTCTCAGTGATGCCCAACGATAGGACAAGGAGCAATGGGTGTGAGCTGGAACACAGGAGGTTCTGCTTAAACTTGAGAAAAACCTTCTTTACAGTGAGGGTGACAGAGCACTAGAACAGGCTGCCCAGGGAGGTTGTGGAGTCTCCTTCTCTGGAGACATTCAAGACCCGCCTGGACGCCTTCCTGTGTGATCTCATTTAGGTTCCTGCTCCGGCAGGGGGATTGGACTAGATGATCTTTCGAGGTCCCTTCCAATCCCCAACATTCTGTGATTCTGTGGTCCTGTCATAGCTTACTTTTAGTGACGACTCCCTCTAATCGAATGATGTTAGGATGGTCAAACTGTCCCATGATGCTTGCTTCTCCCAGGAAGTCCCTTCTCTGTTTTTCTGTGTAGCCAACTTTCAGGGTTTTGATAGCCACTGAAATTTCCTTTTTAGAAGGCAGCTTTAGGCGCCCACTGCACACTTCTCCAAATTCTCCTAAAATAAGTGGAAAAAATGACAAAAGATGAAACATAGTTATTTCACAGGGATTTATGAAAGAAGACTTAGCGTTCAGTAAACATCCCTTAAGTGTGATGTTTAAGGTGGGCCACCGAGCAGAGCTCCAAAGGAGGCTTTTGGACAACTACTCAACAGTTCCATGCTTGGGTCCTCCAGCTGTCAAACTGGACAATGTCACTTATTTACACTGCGTATCCACATGACTGCAGAGCAGAGGAATGCATAAATGTCACCAGAAAATTCCCTTTTTGTTTCAGTTAATGCACTTTGAGACAATAGTAGGAAGGCTAACCAGTTAATGCAGAAGTATCAGAAGTCATGCATCCCTGTGAACATTATACTCTTCATTTCTACCAAACAGTGACAGTACAGTTCCCAAGCATTTTACTTATTTCAATTAAAGTAGCAAGATAATTTATAACAAAAGAATTTATCCACACAGTTGCAAACAAAAAAAAAAAAAAATAAATCCACACAGATTATCTTTGTTCTATCATTATTCAGACGGATCTAATCATGCACATATGAGACCTGACAGTCCACCATAATATTATGCCCACTGTATAGTGTGTGAGATCCCTAAATAGAAAACAGCAGATATCACTGTACATTTAGTTTTCTAAAATGTGGTTTAACCTTTGCTATGTAACATCCAAGAAGAGTGCACAGGGGAAAATATCTCAGTATTCAAATGAGCAAGTATTAAATAAGTTGACAAATTTCTGGAAGAGAACACCTCACTTGAAAGTTTCTGTATTTAACTAATGATTACATAAAACATGTAAGGAAGTTTCAGTATCTTAAAAAAACATTTGAGCAGCAACTAACTTTTGATTCCCAATTATTCAACCCCCCATCTTAGATTTCATATGATATAATAAACTGCACATACAACATCCCAGTTCAGTAGCAACTTTTTGTCTCCTTGTTTTAATGACAAAATAATTGAAATAATGAAAAATACAATAAAAACAGGGAATGGATAAAGAATACAAGAAATATCATGGTAAGAATTGCCCTACATAATTACTTATATTTAAAGACAAGGAAAACATTTTACTGAACAGAGAAGAAAAGAAAGGTGTTTTGTGGGTTTTATTTTTTCTTTCAAGAAACTAGAGGATGTTGCTGGAGGGCTTTAACACCAACAATACAGGCCTATTCAGGTTCCTTTGTCAAAATACATGACATCTAAATACAAATAGCCATATTTTATCAACTGGTCTTGTATAGAAAGTTTGACTTAAACAAACCCTATATAACTAAACCTAGCTGGCAACATTTTTATGCAATCTATGAATTTTGTTTTTAATTGTGAGTAAAACATCACAGAAAGAGTGAGTATATGGCTTATATATGAGCTTTTCCCAACTTAACGTGTAATAACCTAAATGCAATGCCTCTAGAGTAAAGGCTCTTGGAGCTCATTTGCCCACAACGATTCTTTATCTCTGCAGCTGATTGTTTACATTAAGCAACATCTGTGAAAAGTAAAAATGTCCAAAACCCACAGAAATAAGATATTTTTAATAAGCAAGTTTAAATCATGTTGCTGTTCATAGATTGAATGCTCAGAAATGTGTGATGGATTGATAGCTCTTCACCACTGACTTCAGACATGATACCACATGGGATATATTTTAGATGTTACATTCATCCCATTTATCTGCAAATTGAAATTATCCCTTCATCTACTTGCCACCAGTATGGCTGGCATTAGTGTCCATGTCCCATGTGTGGCACTGTAATTCAAGAATGATAAATAGAATAATAATAATGACCAGAATCTTAAAAGTCAGGGCTGTGTGTTCATGTTCAAAGCTCAAGGAATTGGTGTTATCGATACAAAACAAGGAATGAGAAGAGAGAGACATGACAATAGTTTTGGCTTATCAAAATTATGGTTATAAATAAGATGGACATCAACTCCTTTTTCTATACACAAGAGTCAAACCAAAGAATAGCTGCAAATTACAATACAGGTCAGCTAAATCAGGAAAAAAATATCTAACAATAAGGACACTTGGACAGTACAAAAGATTTTTTTAGGGAGGCTATGAAGTCTTTTATCTTGGAGATTGTAAAGAATAAGCATCTGTCAAGAATGGTACCTAACAGGTTCTGTTTTGGGCAAAGGTGTGGGCTTAATGACCTCTTGAGGTCACTTTTTAGCTTTATTTTCTAAGGTTTCTCTGTTAGACAGACAATTTAACAAAAAACCCCCTGAGCAAGTGTCACAGGGCAATGACCTTTCTCTGTTGTTAACCCAGGCTAGATTTGAGTCAACAACATAGAAGTGAATGTCACCATACATTATCACCAGCTGCTGAGTTGCTTCATCCTGTATGTACAGTGTTAATGTAATAACCAAAAAAAAAATTAAAACCAGGGTGTATCTTTATATACATATATATTACTAAAATAGAGCTTACATTAAATCTGTTTTTTCTAATATTATTTGTATTTCAGGCTGCCAAGACAGGCAGCAGCTCAGAAAATGGATTTTAAAACCTAATACTAGTAACTAATGGGTGTTAATCTCTATTCGGGCTCCTTAATTAAAATTACTCAACATCTGCAAGCCAAAATGACTAGTATACTTTACCAAGAACAAACACTGCTTCAGTTCAAACGCTAACCCCAGCTCAATACTGTCAGAGAACCACAAAAAGGAAAACCAAAGCACATCTTGAAAACAGAAGAAAGGGAAAAAAAGGCTTAAAATAAATCTTTTGATGTCCAACTTTGTGTTCCCTTTTCTCTATGTTTTAATGGTCCAAAAAGCTATAACAAGCTAATCTCTTAAAACCATTGTTCAGTTACTGTCAACTGAGAGTATAGCTACGATTTCAGCAAGCAGTCCAGCAATCAATCCTTCATTTCTGGCCAGAATCATATATCTGATATTTGTTTGACTTTTGAGAAGGAAAAGGTTACGGTTAATGTCCATCAGCACAGTCCCATTTAGCCATGGCTGCTCAACTTAGAAGTTGGGTGATTAATCGGATTCCACACGTGCCTCAAGATCAGTGGATGTTACAAAAGACTAAAAGTTGGACCTTTCATAGCAATGGAGCTTAATGTTGTTCATGAATATAAAATGGGTTTATTTTTTTTCATCGGAAAAAGCTCACTGGGCAGCCCAACTATGTTTACCTCTGGTTCTTTCATTTACAGGGATCTATGGATGCTACATAAGTCTATCTGGTTCACACCCATTGTGACATGAAGTTACACTACATCTTTTTCCCCCAAATCATTATTATATTGTCTCATTACGAAACTGAATGGATCTCATCAGATATTGCTTATGAAGAATAAGAACTTGTATTTATTTAAGTTGGAAGGTGGAAAACTTGGCACTGATTTTAAAAGATGAGGTTGATGGCTTTTCATGTAGTGTCTTTCTGAAGTGTTTATTTTTAATTATGCTACACATATAAACATTGTATAACCTGCCCTGCAGACTGATATGTTTATTTACATGTGGAAAGCAAATAGATATTAATAGGAGGGCTGTTCATGATATAAAGACCCCTCTTCAGGAGTTCTTAATTTCTTTTTAAATAGGCTACTTAGTGCATCAGTGAATGGCATTTGCAGTGCCTTTAGATCCAGGGGACAAGTAAAAGATGACTCTGTGAAATTAGCTACTTCCCCTACTTTGAGGAACTCAAACTCAGGAGTTGGAGAGGCATCTAAGCTGAGTGTTTCATAAACCTCATGAACCTCAGCAACATTCCACAGGCCCTCACTGAGACGCCGCAAACCTTCACAATAAGTTCATGGACAGGCAGCCCCTAAATTTTAGAAATGCTTTGATCAACAAGATGTTATGCTACAAGTATGTTTAAACTTTGAAAGAAGAGCAAATGATTGCTTTCACATTCAGCAAAGCACATACTTAAATCTATCCCAAATCAAGAAAGTACTTTCTGTAGTATTCTCTTGCTATCCAATTGGATTTAAATGTCTTAAGTGGTTTGCTGAACTGGATCCATAAAAACAAGTGAGTCATTTTAAAAGAAAGCATTAATGTAAAGAAAAATCTGAAAAAGCGGCTCCTGACCTCAATTTTCTTATGCTTAGCTGCCCACTAAAATCCCTCGTGTTTTTCTTGAGGTTCTTTTGGACAAGAGTATTTCCTTATTGCATTTGGGTATGTTTTCAAAGCTATGTAAGCCGCCCTCTGTTTTCAGAGACTTCTGACTAAAGCTATGAAAAACTACTTGGAAAAGTACCACAGAGTATCAAGATTACTTGCCTGACTTGAAGGTCTCATTACTTACGTCACACTTCAACGCAGTTAAATGAATCCCTTCTTCTCATATCCCTGTCTTATAATTTCATTCACACTTGCATTTGTAAAGGAGAAGGGCAGGAAAAGACCACGTCATTCACTCAAATAAGTCATTGACTCAAGTAAGAGACAGGAAATGCCTTTCTGCTTTTAAGGAGGAAAGAAGCGTTCCTGCAGAAGCAGTTTTGGAGGCACTCACTCCAAGTAGAAAAGTTACCACTTGCTGAATGTGACAGCAGTGTAAAGTGATGCTACAAATGCGTTTTGGAAGCCCCAGCACTCTATAACCTGATTTTCATCTGTTCTTCCCTGCCTGGCTCTTCCTGGTGGCATCTCTGGCAACTAATAGGAAATGCTAACTGTAGTGCCATATGTAGTTCAAGCTACATGAATCTGAGGCATAGCCTCCAACAAATGGCTTTATTATATCTGGAGTCCAAGTTTTAATGTAGAGGACCTGCATGAACCTCCTGTCACTTCCACTGAAGCGGTGTGGAGCAAAGGGACTTATTTTTAAACCACTTGACTCTTTTAGGACATAGCCCTTTTTTTGAAGCCTCTCAGAAAACTCTTAATCCCTTTTTAGAGGCCATATTTGGTAAATATGAGTTTACCTCTCACTCTCATGTGTGTTCTGATTTAAAACAGGTCAGAACAATGAACTATAAAATATGACATATCATTGCTTAAGGACGTGGTTTAGTAGAGGACTTATCAGGGTGAGGTTAATGACTGGACTCGATGATCTTAAAGGTCTTTTCCAATCAAGGTATTTCTGTGATTGATTCTCATTAATCTGTTTTCTAGATTCATATAGCACACACAGCCCAAGTTCAGAAAGCTGACATTTGGGAATGCAGGCTCCTGAAAGTCTTGTAAGGAAACATACTGCTCTTGGACGGAGCTTTTCAGTAACTCCCTTCTCCATCCCCGTATTATTTCTCTATTATGTGCAGTAAGCAGAGCTTTGCTGCCTTGACTGAAGATGATGGAGAACAGTGCACTCTTGTGGGGCAAAATTAAAACCAGCAAGGAACAAAAATTCTACCTTTGCAGAAAATAACCTAACTTCATAGAAGCAGGTGAGTAGCTGCAGTAAGAGAGGATGAATACTGTTTCTTTTTACTGGGTGATTCAGGAGATGCACTGAATAGAGTAGCTTGGTTCTACTTTTTTTTAAAAAATTAAGATCTTTTGCTGTGCACTAGGAGTTTGTCTCTCTCATATCTCATTATTTTAATTCATATGGTAAATTTAGAGAGAAGTAAAAAAAAAAAATAAAAGAACTAGTAATTCTCAATGGATTAAAAATCAATAGTACTTCTCATAAATGTTTGGATTTAGCAGGAAAACTAACACTTCATGATCTTCTGACTCGACAAGACAATCTGCCACTTCACTTCAAGGAGTAAGCACACACCCTACCAGGAACAACATGCTGCATCGCATCATGAACAACTGAGTGCGGTGATACTTTCTGTAATCTTGCTCCTCTGCTACAAAATCTGCTTATTTCAACAGTTTGTTTTCTGTAAACCAACCAATCTATGGCGTCTGTATGGCTCAGACAATCAGTTATCAGACATAAAACCCTCTCCTCCCAAATCGATAATTCAAATCCAAAGCAGTGACCAAACTCAATGCAACGACCAAAGGTCACTGCAGTCTGATGGATGCGTGGTGACTGGTATGAAATGAGTTTGTGGTTTCACTCGAGGCATAACAGTCAACAGTCCTTTTAAGAGAAAAAAAAAAAAAAAGAAAACATCTTCACAGTTGATACCATTTTCTGTGCTGACAGATTTTAAAGTGAAATACAGAAGTGAGGCTGAACTCTCTTTTCACTCCGAACAGTGCTGCATCCAAGTGTGGGCTGATGGGTGTCCTATGAAAATCTGTCTTGCTACGTGCTGTCTTTGGGGGGAAAAAATAGAACTGTGTGCCCTTAACTTTTTATATGCACCAAAGCCAGCTGTAAATATGACCTACTAATTTGAAGACTTTAGAATGTTTTCTTTCCAATCATAACTACAAACCCAAAGATGTACAACAGTACATAGAGCAAAAAGTTATACTTAGTTCAATATATCTGATGGTCATTACCTGCTCCAACTACTTTATCAATGGATATATTAGAAGCATCTAGTTCCTTGGCAAATTCATGCACAGCTTGATTTGGATCCTCGTATGTATGTGGATCTACGTAAGTTCTCAGGCCTGGGAGTTTTACTGTGGAAAAACAAATTCAGAGAGAAAATGTTACTTGGACTTAATTAATACTTCTAAAGAAAGCTCATGAGACAACAGAAATCAAATCAATAGAAGAAAAAGATACACTGCTTCTTCAAATCAAACTGCTTTTGATGGGTCTTCCGGAATCTTAATATAGTGTGAAATCAAAGACACTAATGTAGTAATTGCACAGAAGTCTGAAAACCAATTTTAAATATAGCTGCATTTGTCATTTTTAACTGCTTTTCAAATATTAAAATGTTACCCACCCCTCCCAGCTTGCTATGTTTAGATGTTGCCTTATATTGTCCCTTTCAAGGTAACAACAAAGAGGGAAGGAACAAAATGTGTGATTCCATAGTCAACCTGAAAAGTTCTTAAGTATATATTAAGGAGAGCACATGAACTCAAGCTTTTTCTAAGTTCTGCAACAAGATGCAGAAGAACAGAAAATGATATATGAACAAATGCACCTCTGCCTCAATCCCTCTGCTAAGTACATACAAGGATGGCAGCCAGTTGTTGTTACTACTGAAGTCTGGTTCTAGTGCAGTCACCCTAACATCCACGTTATTATTTTGTCCCCCTCTACAGTTTCCTGGCCAAGGACTGTTCTGTTTGTCCAGGGCAAGCGCTAGTTCAAATGACTGAATGATTTTAAGGGCAGTTCCAAGCTCTCCACATCTCTTCCTCCAAGCAGGACTGAGGGTGAAGGGAACATATCATTCCCAATCCTTCTCTCCAGCAAAGATGCTGAAGGCAAAGCACAGCCTCATTCCCCTTCCCCAACTCAAGCCCTTGCTTGTGCTTGTAGCCAGTACTTTGTGTGCCTGCTTCTATATTCATTTTAGAACACAAAGATGTTTTGTTAACAAAAAGTAAAATAACTGTTATATCCAGCTTAAAGTTTTCTGCTTCTGACACAAACCCCGCATTCCTGGACATGTATTTTAACTTTTCCTAACTGTACCAGTTGGTCTTGTAACTGATATTAACTGCTCCTACACACATATCCTTTCCAGCTTGGTCTTATTATACCGCATCTATTTGTTGATTGCTAGAATAGTTAAATCTTTTTTGCTGGGGTTACACAGATGGGGGGAAAAAAAAATACCTTTAGATCATTAGTTAGAGCACCCCATTGTTTTGTCAAACAATCCCAAGTGTACATAAAAAATAAATAAATAATCAATTTCATAGAGATTTATTGGCCTCCAAATTGACAAAGAAATGATAAAACTGAGTTCCCAAGCTAATTGCCTCGAAAACAATGCAAACTAAGAGCCATGCTCTTAACACAAGGGCTGCGTGTGCGCCGCGTTAAATGCCGACTGTGTTTCCTTCAAGGGCCTGATGATTACAGAATTACTTGCAAGTTAAACAAAAAGTAATTGGCTGTATATTGCTGTTGGTTAAAAAAATCTTGTAAATGCTCCTTTCCGTCCATGCTGAATGTACATTACAGGCTCCCTCATAAGCCCAATAAAAATAACAATTAAAAAGCTTCTGCACTGTAGGGTTTTTAGCTGCAGATTTTTAACACTGACCCCAGAGGTTCCCAAGATCAGGTGATGGTGACTGCAAGGAGAATAATCCCTTCACACCAATAATTAAGGGCAGCCTGTATAGTAACTGGGTTCTGTCATGAAAAACAGATAATAAACACGTGCACATGTGTTAAGCTGTACTACTTTACAGCTCATTCTGTGCAAACATAATAATTTACATTTTCATTTTAACAGCATGAATTGCCCTAAGGGTAGCAAAAAAATAAAAAGGGCCTAGCCATAGAAGGCAAAGGGAGAGGATCTGAGGAGGTGAAACATTTTTGCTGCTTTGAAGTAATATTATAGGATTTGTAATAAGGCTGCAGGGAATAGTTCATGGCTGGAGCCTTTTTTAAAGTAATTCAGAATAAACTGACTGAAATAAAACAGCTGCTGTATTTAAGATGCTGAAAGTTTATGACAGCCATGGAAGTTACTTTATCCTTTTTTAGTTCATAGGAACAATTTTCTTATTCTTTGAGAAAGATTGTCATTTAGTAGAATAAAGTTTCAACAGCCACACATGGACATACATAGAAATCCTAACAGATAAATGTCTGTAAACTCAATAAATCATTTTCAAGAATTTCTAACGGAAATACCAGGTCCATGCTCCGCTCTGTTCTTCCTACACAGTGAATCAGCATGGCACTACTCAGAAAACAGTACATAAATACCTACAGCCAAATTAAAAGCAATTTAAACCACAGGAATTTAACAGCACTGACATGTTTAAGAATAGTGATTGCAACTTTCCATTGTGTGGGAGTAAGGAGAGCAAACTCTGACCTGTTATTTGTCTGTGACACTTTTTTTACTGGCTGCTTTTATTTTATAACCTCATTAAATTTGGATGATGAAGCATTAATTCTATGGGCCACATGTAACCGTATAGATTTTTTTTTTTAGACTAGTTGGTTAGCAGTTGTTGGGCTGCACAAAGCAAATCCACTGCTACAGCTTGTGTATCCCCTGACAGAGCAGGGAAAGGAGCACACGTGTTGTAGATCTGTATCCTCACAGCTCTCTGGAGATAAGGAGGGGTCCAGACTTAAAATAATAATAATAATATGAACAGTCAGAGAACAGTTACTCCATTGTCATGGGGACTAGGAAGCAGTTCTAATTTCCAGCTACTGCAGGTAAATGCCTCATTAAAATGTTAATTCAATTATATTTGGTGGGGAGGCATCTGATTATGGTACCAACAGCTCTTTTCTTGCAAATGGTACAGCACCACTGTTGTGTGCAAAAACCCACGTACGTTAACCTTACAACATGCTAAGCAATAGAAATATATGGGCTCAGAAAATCAAACTCTTTTCCCTCTGAGCTTCTCCTGGATGGGCTCTTGCTCCATGCTGTTCCATTCACAGGGCACAGCCAAATGACCCAGAGTTGCCATGAATGAAGTCCCATTCGGCTTTATTAAAAATAGGTATGCAAATGTCAGAAGTAGATATTTTTTGGGTTTGACTTTTGAACATGTTTCAATAGTAACGCAGATTCCTCAGGATGAGCAAAATCTCACATCCTTAACTAGATATAATTTTTGTGACACAAAGACAATGTAAGTCAATAGAAAGGCTCTCCTCTGAGACCAGGATGAGACCCAAAGAAAGCACAGACATATTCATTCTTGCCAGTGGGGAATTAGGGCTTGAACAAAACATATTTGTAAACAGAGCTGGATTTAAAAAATCTTATTAATTTACAGGACACTTGTTTATTAGTTATTCTTAATTTAAGAAACTACTTCAAATCACTTTTCAACCTACACTTAGAATAATTATAAACTAAATTATTAGTGGGTCAACTTTGTCAAGCAAGCAGTTTTCAGTCCCTCCAGTAGTCATTAAGACAGGTTTCACTGATTTTATATTTTGCTTTGGGGGAAAAAAGTGTCATTTCTTAGACTTTATACAGCTGATAATGAGGAAGTTGAAGTTCCACTCTGCATTTCAGTAATGCACAGCAGAATATTGCTAACCATATGCATCGTTTGAACATAGACAGCGATGTTTTGCTCATTACTAACCTGAATACAGATGAAAGAATCTGAAACAAAGAATAATTGTTTGGGGAAAATCTTCTTACCCACAAGAGAAGAGATAATTCTCTTCCCAATTTCACCTTGGTTTAAGTGAGGTATGTCTTTTTTTTTTTTTTGTAAATTGAAAAATACCAGTTGTGTCTAGGGGATGACTTTAACAGATCTGGAAACATTAAAAGGCTTCAGTAACTTACAGTGGCCATTCCCAAAATGTAGTCTTTTCTCATCAGTACCATGTTTAGACTTCTTGTATCCACAGAATCTACAAGAGAGAAACAAAAATTAATATAAAGAATTTTATATGTTAACCACAGGTGGAAACAGAATAAAATGTTTTCCCTCCACAATTAAATGCCTGTTTGAAAGTTTAATGATATTTACATTCTCTGTGCCCTATAGAGGCATGTTATGTTCTCAGGGAATTTGAGGAAATTGGCTAATGAGAGGATTTGTTGATTTTTGACCCCTACAGTTTAATTTTACAATTGCCTAAGAATGTGTTTATAGCATTTTTTAACAACTGCTGCATGATTGGGGCTGCTAACATTAGCAGGCTCATTACTGAGCACGAAGCCGTATTCGGAGCTCCTGGGCAGCAGACAAAGGGGAAGGTGCAAACCAGCCACGCTACTGCCCGATGACACCCAATTTGCCAAGCTCATCAAGGCCCCTCGAGGAAATGGAAGTGGGAAGAAATGTGCAAACCAGACAATAAACTCACCTCCCAATCAGGATGTACACCACAACGGTGAGGAGAATAATGGCTACCGCTGCTGAAATGGCAATCATTACAACCTGGCTGTTCTCACTGGAAATGGAGAATGCTGGAAAGTTAACACAAAAATAGATAAATAACCCCTCACACACATAACATTGATTACATCACAATTGATATTCATATAGGGAACAGATAGATTAAGTTGTTACTATATAGCATTTGGTCTCCTGCCAAATATTTAATCTACTAAGTAATTTTTTATCAGACAAATAAATACAAGGGAAGAAAACAAAAGACACTGGCCATATTTGACAATTTACCAAAGTTGTTTCTGCTACTGATGATTTTTACTTTTGCTGATTGTAGTAACTGCTGTTAAACTGATAGGTATATATAAACATATCTGTAAATACAAATATACATACCATGACATACATAAATATATATATATATATTTTTTCATGGTCAGTAAGAAGTCTTTGCTTGGCAAGAAATCCCAGGCAGTCAATAATCATCACCCTTCCTCTCACTTCCATATGATGGAAAGTGCTTTAATGAATTAAGTTTCCCAGTTAAGCTTGACAGTATCCCTGTGAAGGCTGTGAAAAGCCACCACACACAGAAGCAGATGGAAGGAATATCGACAGTTAATCAATGTCTATAGGAAAAAGAAGGGCTATTTTCTGTTGTATGTTGGATGCTTCCTTGTGGTCCCTAAACATGGACCACTGGTGTGCTAGACTGCTATACAATGACAAGACACCTTTAGGTCTTGGGTATTATGAACAATCTCATCTCCAGAACCAATCAAACTCACCTGAGTATAGCATAATTAGGCTCCTCAGCACTATGCTTCAAGTTAGCTGTCCAAATACCACTCCTGATTCCCACAAATTAGACATTTTGTGTATGTGACTGCTTGGAGTCACACCGTTCCCCTGGGAAGAAGCCTCTGCCTATTACAGACCAACAACTGCACTGGTATAGTTATGATAACTTGGCAATAGGAACGAAGTTATGCTATTTGTTGTCTATCTGTGTAACTGGTATGCTCTTTATTGAGATATCCATCACTGTCTCCTGTCACCTTCCACATTTTTGGACTACTTTTTTCTTTTAGTATTACATTGCAAAGAAAACTCATTAACCTCTGAATTATGAAACTTATCATTTATCAATTGTGAAATTTATCATTTATCAGTTGCAGTTATCACTGCAACTGCTTTTTTCCCCTCTACTTGTCTGTCTGTGTCTTGAGCTCCAACTTCATCCAGTATGCCAAAGCCACATGTCACCATAACATCAATTTGTAACTATTTTTTCAAAAAAAGAAGGTTGTTTGCTTTCAAGAATAAGAGGCAGGGGAGAAAGAAGTGGGGATGAAATACATAACATATCTCAAAAATACACGGATGCCAAGTGAAAGACCATTTGGCTTGATGGTATTCTTCTTGGTTAAAAATCTGTTGCTTTTAGCAGAGCACTTCTTACACCATGGGTTCTCAAACCTTATCATGAGTACATGAATAAGGCTTATAAAAGCGTATCAGAATTATAGTCATTATATATAGTTGTGTTTTAACTCTGAACAGCAGATATGAGTCTTCTGTGAAAGTCCTACCTTCTAAAAAGCAAGCAGTCTTTGATTGTGCATCATCAGTCTATACTGGTAACTGGGTACCTAAGCAATGGTTGACTTTTTCACACATTAAGCCACTTTCAGCTTCTAGCAAAGAAAAGGTCTGACTTACTATGTAGTACCCAGTGATGAGAAAGTAACATTTAAGAGGATGAGCTCTATTGAAGAGTCTTTCTGAGACAACAACAAAACTTGTAAAGAGTACTAATAAGGACGTTGGTTCAATCATGTTATTATCTAGGCATTAGAGAAAAGAAAAACGAGTTCTGGACCAGTAAATAACTTGCTCAAGGCAACCCAGAAATGTAATGAGAGAGAGAAAAAAGCCAAATAGCCCAACTCCCTGACCAGCTACTCAAATGAACGACCATCCTTCCCAGACTGTGCATATGAGTTCCATCTCAAGGCTAGGTAGGAGACATCAGCAATGCTCCATATTAGTGTAGAGAACTACACACTGACCCACAGGGGTATTGGGCCAATATAATATTAATTCTCTAGGAGCAGGGGTTTATAGTCCATAGGGTTCAGGCCACAAACTT